CGGGATACTGTGCCGAGTCATTCAAAAACAAAACATGGAGGATAAAATATTGCAATGCATCGCAATAATTCAAGTATCGTGATGCATCATGATAGAATCGCGTGACTTCTTTGGCAATACCCACCCCTAGCTGGAGGTGGGTTGAAACGGTGTCATCTGAAGGAAGTCACCACCGCCTGCGCACAGGAGAAGACAGGTGCATATCAGAGGCCTTTTAAGATGAACTTTGGATGCTGATTGGCTTTCGAGGAGGCGTGGTTCAAAGCTGATTGGCTCAAAGTGTTGTAGGCAAATGAAGGCGAATAATCAGTTTATTCAATTGAACTTCCGTCTAGGCTCCATGTAAAAGAGAAGAAAATAAGCAAAAACCTTGTTTTAAGAAGTTTAAATTCTTTACATTATATCTATCAACTCTTCTACACCTATTTAATCCTTTCAGTCTCAGGGATCTGGACCCTATCTAAAGTCAACTGGAGACAGGAGGGCTTCACCAAGGCAAGATGTCAGTCTATCACTGGGGAAATCACTGTCACTATCGCTGTAGCTTACACATGAGTTTTTACGCATGTTTTATATAAGGGGGGTCAGGGCATGTTAAAGTGTGGGAATCCCTGGTCTATGTCATGCTACAATGTGGGATTCAGAAAAAGATGTTGAAATGTCTGAAAGGTCGGACACAGGCCAGAGTGTATCGAGAGATGGAGACCAGCAAGACCTCCCTCATCCTTGGCCCTATCTCTAAGAATTTATAGAAATAGATGAAAAATTGAGCTTTCAATTCATATAGCGGCATCTGGCTGTTTTTTTTTTAAAGGTTACTTTATAGTTTTATACTTTAAGTAGTTTTTGGAGCACATACTTTTTCAATTTTACTTGAGTAAAGAGGTCAAGTTGATACTTCAACTTTTACCAGAGTGTTTTTAAACTGCAGTATCTATACTTCTACTGCAGTAAAAAATGTGTGAACTTTTGACACCACTGATGTGGACCCTTTCTAAAGTCAACTGGAGACAGGAGTGCTTCACCAGGATGAGATGTCAGGGGCTGGACATCCATGAACAAACACACACAGCTAAAAATGCAGAACATGGAGATTCAACACTGGAAAAATGATCTAGAAATAAGTAAAAATGTCTCGAATTAAGTGTTTTTACCCTTAATTTGAATCGGTAAATCAGATAGTTTGCCAATTAAATGAGTATTTACACTCTCCTCCTTAGATAGAAAACTTTGGAATGTCGTGTGTTATGAATTTGCGCTATAGAAATAAACTGAATTGAGTTGAATAGAATTCATATCAGCAGAATCTGATCTTCTTATTTATTTAGCTCTGTTCTCAGACAGACGTTGTTTTTCAATCTATTTGGGTTGAAATGTCCTCCTGATGCCTGCTTTGTTTCTTAGCCCACACTGGATGAGCTTCTGATTTACCTGAACTGCTGTGTTTATCACAGTATTTCTTTTTTCTTTTCTCGTCCAAGAATGACCTTCACAGATAAAGGAGAGCAGGAGGGTGGTGGTCAAGTTCATTTTCCTTTCAATATGAGGAATGGACTTCAGGACATGTCAGTAAATGGATGAGTTACAGGGTGGCGGAGCTCAAGTATCCAGGATCAATCAAAAGAAAGTGAAGGGGAGGGGCTTACAGAGAGGGGTGGATGGAGGCCAGTGATGGTGTGATTTATGAAGACTCCTTGAAACAGTGAAACAGAGGGGAAGTGAGATCTGCCATGAGGGATGGTGTGAAGACATTGGCACTAATGGAAGAAGAAGAAAAACCTGAGATGGCTTGAATAAGAGCAGCAGAGGAGCAGCGGACACGGTGGACAGGAATGTTAAATACAGAGCTGCCACCGAGAGGGAAAACTACAGAACGTTCATGGATGATTTATAGAAGGTTTGTGTAACAGAGGAGGATGCCGGGGACAGGGTGAGGTGGAGGCAGACGATTGCCATGGCAACCCCTAAAGGGAGCAACTGGGAGAAGAAATAAAAGATTGCCTCTTTTCATGATTCATTTGATGGGTGTCAGTGCGCAGTAAATCCAAACTCTATTCTAAATAGCAGGCATTTCAGGCTGTCCTGCATGCAGGGCGCAGAGGTCTGTGGGGGGGGATTATTGAACAAGATTTCAAATCTGGCTTCTGCTGATGGAAAGAAAGAGGCAGAGAAAAAAGAACAGGAGGGTAACAGATGAGATGAGCAGGAGGCCCCCTGTGAAGATGGAGGTGATAAATCTGTTGCTCCACACAGCTTTATGAGATTCACCTTTATGTGACTGATGAGACATTTGCCAAAACTTAAACACACAAATCCTTAAATTCAAATATGTTTCATATCCACACAATTTTTCACTTGCAGAGCGTGCACGTGGAGAAATGGGCTCGTGCACACTCTTGCACACGCATTTTTTTTTTAAAGTGGAGAGGGTGGGTCTATTTTTGGAGATATTTTCAGCATTTTCATATGATACTTAACTGAGCTGTGTGATGCAGTTTGAGATACTTACTTTGTTTCTTCTCTGACCAGACTCCTCTCTGAGGCGTCTGCATCAACCTGCTCTGCTTGACTGTCCCATGACACCCAGTTGTTTATGAGCACTGGAGGTAATCTGACCTGCTCCCTCAGTATGGGTGCATATTTAATCCCAGCCTCTTCTGCTGCATCTTGGAGATGTTCACAATTTCATGGGTGCTGGAGGACGGAGATTTGCAGGTGACTTTGTTTGTTTTAACCGTTGGGAACATGCTTCTATAGGGCTCTGAATCAGGTTGGCTTTTTAGTTCAGGCTTCTGCTTCTCCTTTGTTTACAGTGAGCTCAGTTTGTGCTAACGCTTTTGGTTTAAATACAGAATCAAAACAAGAGATTTTTTTTTAAATGCAAGAGAATCAATGCTGCACAGACTGAGAGGGTTAAAATCCAGTATGGACTACAATTCAATTCCAATCATTAATACTTTATTAAGGGAAATGCTTTGGAGAGAAGTTCTTGATAAGTTACTCATAGGTTTTGATAAGCTAGATGCCACGACTGATTAGTAACTGACACTTAACAAATGTCAACCATCCGATAATTTACCTTTAAGTTATACTCCACAAATTACAAACACTGGCATACAACATATATGATGACGTGTTCCAGAGTGTTTCAGTGTGTTTCAGTGTTTCAGTGTGTTTCAGCGTGCTCATTAGTTATACAAAACATAACCATAACTTATCCAACATATTTCAGTGTTCTTGCCAGATTTTTCGTACTAGCAGGGTCTGATCATTCATCCAGAGAGGTAAACGTTCAAACCAAATATCGAATTGAATTAGAAATAAGATTAAAGTGACCCTGAACGCAGCACGGTTCTTGGTTTTAGACACACTGGTTCTTAGAAACAAAAATATACTGAATAATATTCCTGCCCAGCATCCATCGGGTTAATAAAGAGAGGGCAGAGCAGTCATGATGGGAAATACAGCTTGGTAATATCAGAGGTGTTCGCCCATTAAGCGCAGGATGTGAGTGGGCTCTTGGATGAAAGTTATCATTTAATGAATTCATCTAAAGTTTATTGATCTTATCGATCTAATCATGACTCATTGATAAGAGGACATTTTCTTAAAAACCTCTTCCATCAAGAGGATTTTTATGTGACATCAAAGGTTGAAGTTTTTTTTGTTTTGTTTTTTACCATAAGGAAGTTAAACAAAAAAAGTTTTGCATCATTACTGTATATAAAAAAAACAAAAAAAGAAATATATTCTGACACATTATTAAATGTAATTGTAAGATATAAGAAATCAGGAACCTATATCTGAATAAAAAAGGGAAACACATGTTTTCTAACGAACAGAGATGTAAACATATAATTTAGAGATGCAGTATGTCGCTCTGACTTACAGTCAGGCTATTAGTTACCTTTTTTCCATATAAGGGGCCCTCACTGTGATATGACTCTCTGTGTGATCCAACAATCAGGGGGGAGATGTTTTGTTGCTCTCTGGTTCTGGTTGGAATGTTAAAACTCGACTCCATGAAGTGAATAAATTCAATTCAGTTTATTTCTATAGCGCCAATTCACAACATCATGTCATCTCAAGGCACTTTACAATTCGCCAGATCATCCAGTTAAATTGAGTCTAAGTTTTATCTAAGGAAAACCAGCTGATTGCATTGACTCACTGACCCAAATGCAATCCTCACACTAAGCATGCTTGTAGCGACAGTGGGGAGGAAATACTTCCTTTTAACAGAAGGAAACCTCCAGCAGAACCAGGCTCGGTGTGAGCGGCCATCTGCTGAGGCTGACTGGGGTTCAAAGAGACAGAAGCAATCGCTACAAGCATGCTTAGTGTGAGGGATTGCATTCAGGTCATTGAGTCGATGCGATCAACTGGTTTTCCTTAGATAGAAAACTTTGAATCAATCTGACTGGATGATCTAGTGAACTGTAAAGTGCCTTGAGATGACATGTGTTGTGAATTGGTGCTATAGAAATAAACTGAATTGAAACAAAATTGTATGCACATCAATATATTAACATTAAAGTTTATATATACAGGATTCATGCTCTTTTCAGAACTAGATTTTTTTTTATTATATGAGGTAAAGAGAAACTATGTCTCAGCAAGTCATCTAGGAATCTTCAGTGAAATCAAAGATAAATTACTACTTAAATTATAACTTAAAATAAATTTAATGTAGATATTAGTATTTTATGCAGAGCATTTTTTGGTAAAAGTAGGTAAGTAATGAGAATGGAGAAGATGTTCGCCCCAGAAATGTTGTCCTCTACACTTTGAATTAGTCATCACAGATGTTTGCAGCAAAGTATAGTTTGTCTTTATTTAGAAAATCTGGATATTGAGGTTGTTCCCGTTGGAACAGTGTAGATTAACTCTGAGTTTCTGGTGCCTTTCCGCTTTCGGCCACCCCTCAGTGTACATTGGTTATTGCCTGGACACCCTTATACAGATTTTTTGGTTACGCCTCTGGGCTGAGCCCCCGCGTGTCCGTAACCTGGAGACGCCTCTGGCCGGCCGGGAGCGCGCAGGTGGAACAGGTCTTTATCTAAAGATGATATTAGAGAGTTTCTGAACCACCTGGAGACTCCAGGAACACCGCGTCCCTCAGCAGAGCCTCACTCAGCCTACCTGACCGTCTTCATCTGCTGGAGCTCCGGCTGTCGGCTGCTCTCGGTTTGCGCTCGTGCTTCATCGACGATTCAAGGCGCGCGCCAGCAAGAAGAGGCAGAGGCGGCACGCGCATCCCCGGATCCAGATCAGAGCATCTGCAGTGGCCGAGCCGTCCGTCAGCAGAGCCGGACCCGCACCATGATCCCGCACCGCGTCTGATGGCGGCGATGCTTTGGTGAACAGATGCGCAGATCAGCGTGGCATCGCGTGAGGAGCCCGGACACCATGGAGCTGCTCCTTGTGATGACTCTCTTATTCCAGCAGGCTTTCTGCGGCTCTCCCAGCGTTCAGATCGGTAGGATCTGGCTTTCTGGCGTCTCGCCATCAGGTTTTGCGTTTGCTGCTCCTCCATGCATCTTAATGAGCCGCCTCCTCTGCATGCTCTCCTCTCCTTCCCATTCTTCGCTCGCCCACTGTGGGCCTCTCTCCTGCCTGCCCTGATGCTGCTGTGGGGAAGGAGAGGCCTGACAGCCGCTCGGTCGACGCAGTCTGTGGTTTGTTCAAATATTTTGGAGATTTTCTCTCATTATCGCATCAGCATCACTGAGGGCGCCTGATGCTGAACACAAAAACACCCGATGGATGCTGAGCTTTATTTAACATCTTCTTAGACTTCCGAGGGTGTCCCCAATTATATATATATATATATATATATATATATATATATATATATATATATATATATATATATATATATATATATATATATATATATATATATATATATATATATAATTGGGGACAAAAGATTGAAATCTGAATAAGTCTTTGTTCTTGATTTCAGAATGTAAGTGCCAATGGAACAAGACAATTTACAGTTAAAATAGTGCATATTGTCTAATTATCTTATTTTAAGTGTAAAAATACAAATCATCCCATTTACATACTAAAATTAGGGGTAAATACACTTGATTCAAGACATTTTTACTTATTTCTAGATCATTTTTTGCAGTACATAGGCTATATATATATATATATATATATGTTTTTTTTATCGCCATAAGTAAATTCAATGTTATTCCTTTGTTGATTTATGTTAATTATTTTATTTTTTTTATTCACCTTAATGTCCTATGATGTATTTCGTATTATTTTCCTTTTTTTTTTCCTCATTGCTAGTGGAGCTACATTCATCCTCCACCCCCCCCCCACACTTTGAGCTAATCATGTTCGATCAGAAGTTTTCTGCCTGCTTTTTATTAATAGTGTGTATTTAAAGATGACAGAGCTGATCAATGTCAAAATGGACATTCATGGATATTTCTGATGAAACCTTTGGTGTTCGGTCAGATTGGGTAATTCTGACTGCATTAATGTTTTCTCCACACATTTGATGAGAATATGAGCTTAAGAGAATGTAATGATTGTTTAAAAAGAGCTTTTAGTAAATGCTAGAGTGATATAAAATGTTTTATAACTTTTTTGGTATTGTTGTGGTCAGTCGTTTTTGAGGTTTTCTTGTAAATCGATTGTTGGCTATGTTTGAATTTGTCCTTGTTTATTGATTTATTGCATGATCCAAATATTGCCCAGAACAGAGATAGGTACAAGCTAATCTCTCAGCCTAGTTGCCATGTTGTTGCATTATATTCATAAAATCAGAAACAGAATTATTGAACTCTTTGCTGTGTGGAGCGTTTACAGTTCATAGCTGCTGTCTGTCACCTTTATTTGAACATTTGCTCTTCTTCTCACTTGCTGTTGGATCCCTAATTTTCCTTTGAAAATGCAGACTTCTGGGTTTATAGGCTATAGAAATGTAGGCTTACTCAATACTTTAACTCAATGCTTTGTTAATTACGTCTGTTCAGTTCCCTGTTAATACCAACAGTGAATCAGCCAATCACATGAAGCCAGCTCAGTGAATTCAGGCATGCTGTGCTGAAGATACTTGCTTAGGTTGAAGGCATCAGATGGAGGCAGGAGGAGGATGTCAGGGAATAATTGTTGGTGTCAGATGATGTTGTCTGAGTATTTTAGAAGCTGCTGATTCAGTGGGATTTAGAGGCAATCAAATTCAAACTCTCAGACGGCTGGTGGTGGTGGTGGTGCTCTGATAGCAGTGGCGGCTGGTGAAAAATATTTTTGGTGGGGCTGATATAGCCTAGTGTATGTCTCCAACTAATCCGGAATAAGAATTCAAATAAACAATTGGACAATACATACAATTTAACAGTAATTATTTAATTTACTATATAATAACAGTAACAGTGATGATTTGGGTCACTGTGACGGGGTTCTTTGGCCTCCAAGAATCCAGTCTCAGTCGGGTTACCGGTGTTGGTGATTTATTGAGCTCAAAAACTCAAAACAGGGTGCAAAAGAAACTAAACATATACAAGATACTCTGGGCCTCAGCCTCCCTCCAGTTACCAGCAATGTAACAAAGAAACAGAAAACAAAAATTGCGGCTTTTCTTCCCACAGTCCTCATTAAATAGTTTAAGCCCCTCACCTCAGGCTCTCTTATTTCTCATTTCTTCTCATTAATCAGTTTTGTCCATATATTACCTCCACAAACAATTGATGTACAAAAACAAACAAATAATTTTTACAACTTAATTCTTTTACACAGATTCATTGACTTATTCAATTACACCAAACTGGGTTTGAACCCAGCAAAGACGCAGCCAGACTGAAGATGACAAGTCCCCATAGCATAAACACGTACACACCCACACCACCCACACACACACACACACACACACACACACACACACACACACACACGGCTAACCCCACTGAAATATTAAGTGTGCACCCTCAATATGCCAGCAGGTAACCAGGAAGAGCTTGTGTGTTTTAAGTTAATGGAGCTACTGGTCTCAGCGCGAGTGTATTGGTCCTCACAAACACAGTATAACAGGAATGTGTGTGTGGCGCGCAAAGTTAGAGAGGTTGTTTTAAGCGACGAGGTGGATTCGTCACAGTCACAATAACCATGACATGAAATGTTCATATCCTACAACAGGGATGTTCTTCTGGCAAATGGGTAGATAAATAAGGATCTCACCGAATTTGGTGGAAGCTGCATCTCGTTCGTTACATTCGCCATCTTCCCTTTAACTGTCTGCACCTGCGCTTGGGTTCAGAAGCCTGTTAAAGTGCATTATTTTCAGAGCCCCAAGACCATAAAGTTCCGAGACGCTGATTGGCCATTAAATTCACCTAGCAATAGTACATGATTGACAGATTCTCTGCAAATGTGGGTCAGTCTGATCACAGCCCCCAGAACAGAGACGGTAGGAGTCTGTCTGTGGAAATCCACAAATTAATGACAGTAGATAGGGAAATGTAGTTTATATAATTTGTTTTGCTTATAGGTACACAGTCTAGAGAGTAAAACTGACATTTATGAGTTAATTTCTAAAAATATATTTTACGTTTCTCTCTTCTTATCAGGGAGGGCGGTGCCCCAGCGCCCCCTATGGGCCGGCCGCCACTGTCTGATAGGGAAGATTATCATAGCACAGTGTTCGCTCTTAAGGGCGGTTAAGGATGGTCTGAATACCAAAACATACTTAAGAACTGTTGTTATCCATTTTGATCCTTATGAGAGCAGAGAATACCCATCTCTCATGACCAAATAGTTCATAACTTTGAATGCATTTCAAATTGGTTTCCTCAGTGAGCTCAATGTACTCCAGTCCACAGTGAGCAGGTTTTGGATGTGATTGTGCTGAAGATTCCCATCATGGAAGTATAGATGGGCACCGTAATGCTATCATGGACCTAACAGTCTGAAGGAATGAGTCAGACGCTGTTAAAATTATGATAGAAAGAAGCAGGCACTTCTTGAGAGAAAGAAGGTGTTACTCAGTATCCAACAAAATGTCCAATAAGCTTAGTTTCTTGATTTGTACAAGTATCATCTAAACATTGACTCTACAATCTAAGGTCTAAGCATTGCCTTTTCTATTGTTTTAAAGTCATATTTAAATTTCAAATAATTCTGGCTTAAACATGTATATAAATGTACTCTTTATCAGATGCAAAATGTGTCGCAGAATTTAGAAAATTTCTATTTGAAAAGAGTCCTGTCTTAAAATATTTGATGGGGGTTTCTTGTTATCTTCTGCAGGCCAGTTAGTTCTACGTCAGCCTGAACACCTAAATTCGGCCAATCATATATCAATATCATTTGTCAATCAATTTTTTTTGGTCATAGCATCTTGATTCACATGTCGCAGCATGTTTCCCACTCGGGAGAATTCAGAACTGCAACAGTTGGAACAGTCGCTTCCCTACGACTTTAGGCTTTTAGATCCTTTGTTGGGATGTGATGGTGGATAGTTTTTTTGGTGGTAGCATCTCCAGGTCCTGGTTCATTTAGAAGGAGCAATAGGGGCATTATACCACTAATGGCAACGTTTTAGTGACATGAGGCTCATGCACTGCCATGGTTTTGTAATGGAAGACATTAAAGCTGGACACCCCACATGGTCCTCATGCCTTAGCTGTGATCCCATTTCCATCCACTGTCAGGGATCAAGTTAAGTAACAGGTATACCTTTAATTCTGATATTCGTTCTACAACCAAAAGAATCTGAATTTAATCACTTTATTGTCCAACCCTTAGAACAGAGCTCCAAACTGCAGAGATGAACGCACACCTCCAAATTGCACCAAAACTCAGCTGAATGTTAAGAAACCAAGGCAAAATCAAAATTTTCAGGTTTTCTCTTGAGCCCTAAAAGTTAAAATCCCATTTACTGATTAGAAGGAAACGAAATACCTGCAGTGACTCTACAATTGGCTGCAGTCAAACTGGCTTCTAATATTATTTTATATCGCTGAGCAGTCATTTCAGTTTCAGAAATGACTGCTTCATAAACGAAGCATGTTATGGAGGTCGTTTAGTCTTTAGCAACAGTTGAAGGAGTCCTTCCCAGAGTCGTCTTTGACATTGTTGAAGATTCAATTCAGTTGATTACTATAGAGCCAGTTAACAACATATGTCCTTTCAATGCACTTTACAGTTCACCAGATCATCCAGCCAGATGGGTTCAAATGACTCATTGACTCTTCAGCAATCCCTCAAACTAAGCATGCTTGTAGCGACAGTGGAGAGGAAAAACTCCCTTTGAACATGAAAAAACCTCCAGCAGAACCAGGCTCAGAGTGATCAGCCATCTGAGGCCGACTGGGGTTCAAGGAGACAGAAGCACAAATACAAAAAGAAGAATATACCTTTTATTCTGAAATTTTTTTCTACAACCAAAAGGATCTGAATTGAATCACTTTATTGTTCCTAACCTTAGAACAAAACTCCAAACTGCAGAGATGAATGCATACC